CAGGAAAAACCTTATGAATAGGATTTGAAAAAGTACAGCTGGAATACTCCTTAGAAGCAAGAATGGCCAGATTGTGTCTCATACTTTGGTCATGTCATCAGGAGGGATGTCATGCTTGGTAAAGTAGAGAGTCAATGAAAAAGGGATGACCCTCAAAAGTTAGACTGACTCAGTGGTTGCAACAACGGGCTCAAGCATAATGATGATTATGAGGATGGTGCAGTACTAGGCAGTGTTTTATTCTGTTGTAGATTGGGTCATTATGAATTGAAGCTGACTCAATATCTCTTAACAGCAACAACATGGGCAGCACATTGAATGACACAGGAAACACAAATTAAAAGAAAGGAATAAATACATAGAGTCACAGTACCAAAAATAATTGGTTGGCATTCAAACATTTCAGGGGTTAGCATATGATCAAGAACCAATGGTACTGAAGTAAGAAATCCAAGCTTCAAGGAAGGCCTTGGCCAAAAATAAGCCTCCAGGAATTGGTAGAATGTCCATTTGGATCTTTCAACAAATGAATGTAATGCTGGCAGTGCTCACACTTTTATGCCAAGAAATTTGGAAGATAGTTACCTGGCCTACCAATTGGAAGACATCCATATTTGTGTCCATTCCAAAGAAAAGTGATCCAACATAATGCAGGAATTATCAAACCATATCATTAATATTACATGCAAGTAAATTTTTCTGAAGATAATTTAAAAAGCAGCAGCAGTACGCTGACAAGGAACTGCCAGAAATTCACTCCCAATTCAGAAGAGGATTTGGTATGAAGGGTATTATTGCTAATGTCATATGGATTTTGGATAACAGACTATGCAAAGGCATTTGACTGTGTGGGTCATAACAAATCATGGATAACATTGTGAAGAATAAGAATTCCAGAACTCTTTATTGTGCTCATGCAGAACCTGTACATAGACCAAGAGGCAGTCATTCTAACAGAACGAGGTATGGTATAAAATCAGAAAAGGTGTGTGTTTTGGTTATCCAGTGTCCAGTCAAGTTGACACACAACCTTAACTACTACAGTGTGTAACAGGGTTGTATTGTCTCATCACACATTTTCAATCTGTATGCTGAACTATGAGAAGCTGGACTATATGAAGAAGAATGTAACATGAGGATTAGAGGAAGACTCATTAACAACCTGTGCTACAACCTTGCTTTCTGAAATTGAAGATGACTTGAAGCACTTAGTGAGGAATATCAAAGACTACAGCCTTCATTGTAGAACACACCTCAGCAAAAAGAAAACTAAAATCCTCACAACTGGACCAATAAACAACATCATGATAAACACAGAAAATATTGAAGTCATCAATATTTTCTTGGCCATGTCATATTATGTGGCTCCACAATCAACACCCATGGAAGCAGCAGGTAAGAAATCAAATTATGTATTGCACTGGGTAAATCTGCAAAATACCTCTTTAAAATATCAAAAAGCAATGATGTCACTTTGAGGCCTAAGTTGCACCTGACCCAAGCTGTGGTATTTTCAATTGCTTCTTAGTCATGAGAAAGCTGGAAAATGAATAAGTAAGACTAAAGAAGAATTGATGTCTTTGAATTATGGTGTTGGTAAAGAATATTGATTATACTAAGGACTTCCTGGAGAATGAACAAATCTATCCTAGAAGAAGTGCAGCCAGACACTCGTGTCCTTAGACATGAGGATGGCGAGACTTGGTCTCATGTACTTTGGATATATTATCAAGAGGGACCTGACCCTGGAGAAGGACATCATGCTTAGTAAAGTAGAGAGTCAGTGAAAAAGAGGAAGTTCCTCAAGAAGATGGATTGACACAGTGGCTACAACAATGGGTTCAAAGATAGCAATGATTGTGAGGATGGCTCAGTACTGGGCAGTGTTTTGTTCTGTTGTTCATGGCGTTGCTATGAGTTGTAACCAACTTGATGGCACCTAATAGTAGCAACAACAACAACTAGTCCAAAGCTAAATGGCCTCCAGACGGAAGCAGAAGTGTTCTAATGTGATTAGCTAAGAACACAACGTACAATTGGAAATCCATTGTGCAAACATATGCCTGTTTGATTTCTTTCCACTTCCCTTTGGATATTAAGCTCCTTTTGATTAGTGTTTTGTTTCTGGTAGTAAATATTGTACCAGCTTCCTTGGTTTATTGTGGGGATTAAGTATGGGAAGTGATGGGTGCAAACCCGTCAGCAGTGCCCAGAATTATCAACACTCAGCACATACTGCTATTGTTCTTAGGGAAGTTTTGGGTGAAGGTTAGACTGCTGGAAAGGTTTACATTGGGGAGATGGTGGCAGAGGGCCCTTCTTTCACCATTCTTTGCAGTTAGTTGCTTATCTTACCACACTGAACAAGTCTGGTGTATGCCTTCTAGACTAACTTGAGTCATGCCTCGGCACCAATCAAGGACAGCCACATCGGTGAGAAATTGCAATAAAAGGACAACCCACAGCAGCCTTGCTTTCCATAGCCAGCCAGAGAAGGAGTGCTTTCCTCCCAAGCTCTGTGATCTCACCCAAGGTAAGTCCTGCTCCAAGTCCCAGCAGACTTTCTCTTGAGGTGCTCCCTCCATTGACTCACTGGACCTGCTGGGCTTGTTCATTTCTGGAAATGTTCAGGACCCAGAAAGGAGTTTGGAAGCTGGTCATTGACAAATGCTCCATATATCACTCTATATGCAGTTTAATTCATGATTCCAGATGCTTGCTGGCTGTACCAAACCTATAGGTGCTATGTCTTACTCAGGAATATAGGCATCTACTTGGGATCTCCTTTCCAAAAGGTAGTAGTCCTGGATGTCCTCCTGTCCCTACTCTCTGATCATATATTCATAGTGCTCCTTCCAGAAGCAGCTTTCTATCTTTAGCTGAAATCTGGAGGTTGTAAGAATTCATTCAAAGATTTGCTCATCCTGATAAACAGGCTTCCGAAAGAACTGTGATTTGAGTGTGGGTAACTTTCGTTGCTGTTTGTTTTGAAACTTCACTTTTATTTATTTGCTCACCCCTCAACTTCTTTGAGCACCCTGTGTGCTAGGTACTGTGCTAAAAGCAAGGGACATGAGGTTTGGTCTGATGTGATCCTATTCACCTGGAAATCTGCCCGTAATGACTCCTCTGGAGGCTGTGGAATTATGTCAACTGTCACAGGATTGTGACAACTTTCATTTCCAATCCATTCTGTGCTTGATGGATAGAACTAAGAAAAGATGTTGTTGTTGTTATGTGCCATTGAGTCAGACGTGATTCACAGTGACTCCTCTTTGGGTTCCCAAGGCACTATCACTATGGAAGTAGATTGCCCAACCTTCCTTCCAAGGAGTGGCTGGTGGGTTTGAACCACCAGGCTTCTGGTTAGCAGTCAAGTGCCTTAGACACTATGCATGTCATTACTTTTGTCTGTTATTATCCAGAGGCACTATAACACTCCTCTCCATCTAATGTACAGAAAGATGATACCTCCAACCCAGGTGACAACCATCCTGAGAACCTTCTAGGACACTCTGCAGTATTGATCAGCTCCAAGCTTGCCTTTGGTTTTCTTGCTGTCAGTTTCACCCCCCGTTGGTCAGTCTCCTACCTCTACCCCCTCACACTCCTTTTCTCTAAGTCACACCTGCTTTAAAACAATACAGCCATTCATGAAAGCAAGCAAAGGTTTTGTTTCTGAAAACATGGGCCTGTGGCCTTAAGCAAGCTATTTAACTTCTAACTAAGTACTTACACATAGAAGAGTCTCAGTAGATATTTCTTGGATGAGTGTCATCTCAGTCTCAGCTTCTTCGTCTGTAAAATGGGGACAATAATAGTACTTTCCTTGCAGGTAGAGAATAATGAACATGTCAGAGAGCCTTAAATGAGAGAAGGTATGTTAAGAGCTCAGTACAAGGCATGTCATGGAGTAGGTGCTACACTGATGTGATTTCCTGTCTTGCCTTCACACCCAGAGGTTGTCACTCTGATCCTAACTGCTCTTTTCCTTCTTGTAGTTGCTTGGAGAGTCTGCACACTGCTGAATGACCTTCATGCCTCAGCATATGTCAAGGATGTCAGGCTCTGATGTCCTGTGGCTGGCCTTGGCCTCCTGCATAATGACTATGGCATCTGCAGAACAGCCAGGTAAGTGCTCTGCTCACTGGGGCATCTCAAATACCCTGAAAGACCTGTGGAGTAAGTAGGGAGGTGCAGAGAAAAAGGTTTAGGGTCAGTGAGAGAAGAGGGCTTGTTTAAAGCTGGGACTTAGAAAGTAGAAGTCAGGAGGAATATAGTGGTGACAACTGGAATCAAGTCACTGTCCCCTCAAAGTCAAGGGCCAAATAAAAAATTACCCTCAAAGGGCAGTAGGAGCTGATTATATGCTCTGGTGTGGGGGATGTTGGAGATCTGGGGTTGGAGAAGATTAATAAATTAATCTTTGCAGATGGCAAATGACTGAGAATCAAAAGACTCAGTTGCATTCCTCTATTGGCCAGCCAATCACTCTGTGCCTTGTTTTGGCAGATGCCTCCCCTGTCCTAGGTATCTGTGAGCTCAAGTGTAAAATGAAAAGACTAGATTGGATGATCTCTCTATGGGCCTTCCACAGATCTTCTAGGATTTGGCCATCTTAGATGCTTGAGTAAAGTGTTCTCAGGCTTACCACCAAAGAGAAAATTTCTGCCCATGTCACCTGTGGCGGGGGGTGGTGGTGGTGGTTTTGACCTCATGGCCTCTGGTGGGAAAATAAAGATGTATAGGAAATCATCCAAGAATGCCAGGTGCTGAGACTCCTTTCATTTAAAGTCAGCACAAACATAGGCAAGGCTTGAAAACCTCTTTTTTATTGTGATAAAAGAATTATCACACAAAACTTACCCTGTTAATAATTTTAAAGTGTAGAATTCCATGGCAAGTACTTTCATGAATGTCTAGTTCCAGAACTTTTCCATCACTCCAAATAGCAAGCCCAGACCCATTAGACAGTCACCCCCATTTTTCTCTCCTTCCTCTATCTGGCTATCAAAATCTGCTTTCTGTCTCTGTGGTTTTGCTATTCTTTTATATCGTGTGTTTGGACTGAGATCACCATTCAGATTCTCCCATTCTTCAACAAATCAGAACTATGAAAGAGAACTAGCTGAAATTCCTACTATGGTCAACCTCTTTGCTTGGCATTTTACTCATATTATTTCATCTAATTCTCTGATTATTCTTTAAGACCATATTTCCCCAAATGGAGCATACATATCCCAAGATGACTCTAGGCATGCCTACCAAAAACAAACAAACAAAAAACCAATAAACTCACTGCCATCCAGTCATTTTCCAACACATAGCAACCCCTTCCTGGATTTCCAAGGCAGTATATCTATGGTAGTAGATTGCTCAACCTTCCTTCCAAAGAGTGGCTGGTAGATTTGAACTGCCAACCTTCTGGTTAGCAGTCAAATGCCTTAGGCACTACACCACCAGAGCTCCTTTAAAAAATGTAGCGGCTATACTGATATTTTCACGTGTGATAGAAAAAAAAGCATAACTAGCACATCATACCTATGATTTCACAGATGTTATTTCTTAAGATGAAACATTTTAAAAGAGAATCATTGAAAGAAAGATTGTAAGTAAATAATAGTACAGGTGGACACAGATGTAGCAAACATCAAGCCCCAGGGAATGGGACGGGGTGAAGTTTCAAACTCTCTGCTCACAGTGTTGTTTTGCAGATGAGTCTCAGGGGAGTCAACCTTGGCCAATGTTACCAAACAATTGCCCAGCCCCAACACCTGTGATCCTTTTCCCTTCACTTCTGCTTTTCACAAGTTTAAAATTTTGTTTCAGTCATAGTCCCTGGAACAGTAAAAACCACAGCAGATCAGCAATCAAAAAATGGTTCAATTACATTAATGGCTCTCATTAATCTAATTAAAGCAGACACTAGGCTGTTTGGAAGCAGCTGTAAGGGCAATCCCAGAAAGGTGAACTGGCATGGGGGGTTTGGAGGTGGCTTTAAGGAAGGCCAGGAAGTGAACAGAATGGTTTGGAACAACTAACAGAGACAAACTTGTCTGTCAATTTGTCATACTATGGTGCCTTGTGCGTTGCTATGAGGCTTGAATCTATGCCACCAGTGTTGCAAATGCCAGCAGGGTCACCCATGGTAGACAGGTTTCAGCAGAGCTTCCAGACTAAGACAGACTTGGAAGAAGGAAGAGACTATCCACTTCTCAAAGAATTGGGCAATGAAAACCCTATGAATAGCAGTGAAACACTGTCTGATATATTACTGGAAAAATTTATGAATAGCCCTGTAACATTGTGCCAGAAGATGAGCTGCTCAGGTTGGAGGGCACTCAAGATATGACTGGGAAAAGGCTTCCTC